GATAGCTCATCCTACTTCCTAAACTGCATAATTACCCGCATCACCAGACATTGGAATGACACAGATGACAAACTCTCCGTATGACACAGCCAAAAAGGCTCTTGGAAATCGTTATCCTGGCTTGTTTTACAAAAAGGGAAACTGAGGCCCAGAGTGAGCAGGAGGCCTACAGGAGCCAAGACAAACCCTCTCCTCCAGTCCAGGCCCCCTTGTGCAGCATCGTACCACAGTTAGGGCAGCACCTCCTCACCCAGGTGAAACCTGCTCCTTTGCAGCTTCGAGAACTCCAGGCACAACCCGCAGGGTACCCTTCACATGGGTTTTCCCAGCCAGGTCCCTGGTTATCGCCAGAGTAGAAAATGAAATTAAAGTACAATGTGAATGCTGGTCCCTACAGCTGCTTGTTTCTCAGCCTTTCTTCTCCTCTGTCATGTTTCGCCCACATTCCAGAACTGGCCCTTGGCCGGGATAAAGATGCTCACGCATCAGGAAGGAAGAATCAAAGGGAGAGTGGCAACCTCTGCTGGGTCATTAGTGGTCCCCAGCCACTGGATGGATTTAGAACATGCCTTTAAGTGTCAGGGTGGAAACAACCCAAATATCACAGAGATGGTCTATTTGTGAAATTACTGAGACTAGCCAAGCCACAGAATGAAAGGGTCATGCTCCCTGAGCTCATTTTAGCTTAGTTGTTTGAAACTTGGGTAACATTGCTTTGAGGGGGAAATGGATTTATATGATTGGTTCCCAGGCTAGTCTACTTAACTGAAATTATAATTGACCTCTGGATCCCAGGGCACGCAAGCTGCATCCTTAAGGTACAGCAGGGGAAGTTTCTCTATCCATGGCATCCTTTGCTTTCTCCCATTCCTTCTCCCAAGTCCTCCCAGTGACTCTGGAACTCCAAGCTTTCCCAGGTACTGGAGTGAGCCAGGTTTTGATGGCTGCCTGCCCTCCCCCTGGTTCCACAGTAATGGGACATCTGCTGGAATTAATGCATGTATGTTAATGACTAACACACATGTGTGAGTGACTAAAAGCCCCTGAACCAGTGGTCCTGACGTTGTCAGTGGGCACTAAAACCACCTGGAGAGCTTGTTAAATGCAGACTCCCAGACCCCATGCCAAAAATGAGGATTCAGCAAGGGCTAGAATTGGGAGCAGGCCGAATCTGATGGGAAGATATATATATATATATTTTAATTGATTTCAGAGAGGAAGAGAGGAGAGAGAGAGAGAGAGAGAGAGAGAGAGAGAGAAACATCAGTGGTGAAAGAGAATCACTGATGAACTGCCTCCTGCAGGCCCCACACTGGAGATCAAGCCTACAACCCAAGCATGTTCTCTGACCAGGAATCGAACCTTCAGGTTCATAGGTCCACGCTCAACCAATGAACCAAGCTGGCCAGGCGGGAATCTGTGTTTTAACAAGCAGCTCAATTGAGTCAAATGCTGATAGTAGAAAACACCATGGAGAAATGCTACAATAGACGATATGGCAGGTGTTTGTAATCCCAGGGTGATTTGCTTTTTACCGGACAGGAAGATAGAACAGAATCCACGATGATTCGGGTTTTTAAAAAAAAAAGACAAAGTAGAGTTGCTCCCTGGATGAATTATCTCTGTGCTGCTATTTCATCTGCTGGAATGTGGCAGGGCGCAGCCAGGAGGAAACTCAGACACTATGACAAGAAGAGGGCTCACTGTAGATTTCAGAAGGCTTCCATGATTCATCTGTGAGGCTCAAAATGTTCTTACACATTATGCCCTCTACCTACCAGAAACAAAGTGCTCCCACTCAAGGTAGTCAACCCCCACTCCTGAGAGACAGTATAGCAGAGAGATTAAAAGCGCTTAACACCATCAGGCATTGAGAAATGAAAGTCAAAAGCACAATGAGACACCACTTCACACCTACTGGGTTGGTCATAATTTTAAAAAGGGTAAAATAACAAGTGATGGTGAGGATGTGGGGAAATTGGAACCCTTGCACATTGTTGGTGAGAATGTAAAATGGTGCAGCCACTTTGGAAAATAGTTTCCTCAAAAACTTAAACGGCCAAAACCGGTTTAGCTCAGTGGATAGAGCGTCGGCCTGCGGACTGAAGGGTCCTGGGTTCGATTCCGGTTGGGGGCATATGCCTTGGTTGTGGGCACATCCCCAGTAGGAGGTGTGCAGGAGGCAGCTGGTCGATGTTTCTCTCTCATCGATGTTTCTAACTCTCTATCCCTCTCCCTTCCTCTCTGTAAAAAAAAAAAAAAAAATCAATAAAAATATATTTTAAAAAAAACTTAAACAGAGAGTTCCATGTGACCCAGCAATTTTAGTCCCCAAAGAATTAAAAGCAGAGACTCAAACAGATATCTGTACATGAATGTTCATAGCAGCATTATTCACAGTAGATCAAAAAAATGAAAAAACCTAAATGTCCATCAACTGACGAATGAATTCACAAATTCTGGTCTTTCCAGACATGGAATATTATTCAGCCATAAAAAGGAATGAAGTACAAAAACATGCTAAAGAATGGATGAGCCTGGAAAACATTGTGTTCAGTACAAGAAACCAGGCACAAAAAGCCAATATTGTATAATTTCATTTCTATGAAGTGTCCAGAATAGACAAACCCATAGAGACAGAAAGTAAATCAGTGGCCGACAGGGGGTAAGGGAATGGAGGAATGTAAATATATACAAGGTCTCCTTTTGGAGTGATGAAAATATCTTAGAACTAGAGAGAGGTGATTATTTCACAACCTATGACTGCGCAAAATGCCACTGAATTTGTACACTTTAAAATGTTAGTGGTTACCAATGGGCAAGGAGATATCTGATTGGTGGTGTTGCTCTTATACCAATCAGGGGCAAAGCAGATGTACAGGCCTTAGTTCATCCTAGCTTGATCCCTGTGTCAATGACCAGAGCTGTTTCATGCCTGAGGCACATAAAGTTATAATTCCTAAGTCTTGGAGGAAAAAAGATCAGAATCACTGATCTCATAATAAGTAGATTATTAATATTAACTGAGGCTTAGAAGGGGGTGTAGTTTTAAAGTTTGTGGAGATGTTGTGATTAGTCTAGTAACTTCTAGATAACAGTAAGTAGGTAGTTCTAGCACAACTCCATTAAGAGTGAACATGTCACTTAACAGTTTTTGTGGCAATTGTGCAATAGGACATGGATATATGTCATTCTGCACATAAAACTGGATGCTATAAATAATAAGTGGGTCACTATTGGCTTTCAGAAAATTGGGTGGGGGTCTAATATGGAATATTGGGATTATTTCAGAGAGCAGTTACTGTGAATCATGTATTCTCAGGAGCCAGAAAGTCTTCAATCCTGAGTCTCTGCCATTTAACTGTCAGTGTGGTCTTAGATGCCTCTACCTACCAGAAACAAAGTGCTCCCACTCAAGGTAGTCAACCCCCACAGCCCAGGGGGAAACAGCATCTGCCTGTTTCTCACCTGAAAAATGAGTTTTAATGATAGTGCATATGAGTTGTTGGAAAAAAAATAAAACATGAGAAGCACGTAAAATGGGGCCTGGCAGTTATAGCTAATAATATATATAAACATTTATCTTTTTCTGGGTTTAGAAAAAAAATATATTTAAATAAATAAATAAAATGTTAATGGTTAATTTTAAATTATGTAAATGTTACCTGAATAAAATAACAAAAAAGCATTGGTAATAACCAAACCTCCAAGGTTCAAAGCCTGGCTCTGCTGCATGACCTGAAGCAAACTCAGTGCCTCAGTTTCCTATAAAGAAGAAATCTCTAAAGGGGACTATAATAAAACCCACTTGCAGGCCTATTAGAATTACATGAATTAATGTCCCAAAGGACTTGGGAGAGATGGTGCATAGCATGATACATGTGTGCCATGATTTCATTACACAAACCCTACCCTATTACATAGGCAAACCACGGCCAGCATGGGTAGGGGCTTGTTCAAGTTCACACAGCAAGTTCAGAAGTCATGTCGGAGTGGCACCCAGCTCTAGGTCACTGCTCTTCCTCTGCCGACAGTCTAATTGAATCCCTGACCAAGAATTTTGACACTCCAAGACCCCAACCCCTAGCAGCAGCACAAATTCTTTCCAGTGTGGCTGGCTGGCTGGCCTACATACCAGGCAGAAACAACTGAGTAAAGCTTTATAGCAACAACTCTTTTTGCATCTTCCAAGGTGAAAGCCTTGGCCACCTGAAGGGAACTTTAGCCTGGTGGTGACTGACCCAGAGGAGAGCTTTCCCCTTCCCTGTTCCCATGACCATGAATGTCCTGCCTCAGTTTACCTTGGACGTGACAGAAATCCTCACTAACTTATTAAGTCAGTAGGGTCATCCAGGGTCTTTCTTCTCCAGGAAGCAGGGAGAAGTAGAAGCTCAGATCTTCCCTTACACTGCCCCCTATGTGCACTCCACTTTTCCCTGGTTCGGTGTGAGATCACAAGGATTTTTCAGACTCAGTTCAATTCCTGTGTCTTCAGGAACAATCTAGCTTACTCACATTCCCCAGCAACCACCTTCCTCCCTCAAGTAGAGAGAAATAAGTCTACACCCATCCACATCTAGCAATCCTTCCTGATTCCACTGGTTCCCTCAAACAGCACAGCCCAAGGGAGTCCTACAAAAAACCCTGGGAGGTTTGTTGAGAATCAGGCTGACTGGATGTTCAATATTGAATCATCATCACAAGCAGAAGATAAGAAAAATAATCCCACAGGAAGCATCCAAATCCTAGGCTCTTAGCTTCTGGATGCAGAAATAACCCAAGGAACCTGGTGTCCCTGTGCCCTGCCCTCCTTCCTTCTTCATCAGCTTCCACAGCCAACACCAGCTTCCCCCAGGGCTATGAGGTCTGCTCCTAGAGCAGGTCCAATCTGGCATGAGTGAGATGTGACGAGTCCTTCCTTTGTGGCTACCAATGTTTGCACTTCCAGAAAATCAAGTCTGATGCCCCTGGGTGGCCACCTGGAGCCATAGTCCACCAAAAGACATAGACCAAACAGAAGGGTGTTGGGGAAGGTGGTCTTAAGATCACATTAATACCCGTAACAGCATCCATTCATAGAACTTATACCTTCCCTCCTTTATCTCCAAGGTCGCTGGATTGAAGATCATGGAGTCATACACAACATGATGTTTAACACTGAGACAGGATGGAAGTACTCCTTCAAGACCACACAGAACAAGACTGAGTGGTGGGACAATGGCGTTCTCCCCCTCTGGATCACAGCCCAGAGACAGGTACAGTCAGAAATCCTAGGCTGGCTTCCAGGGACATTGCGTCTCATTCTAAGGCATGTGGGATGGAGATTAGAAGCTGTGTGACCTTGGGCAAGTGACTTAGCCTCTCTAAGCACGTGTTTCCCTAAATGTGTAGTTAGGGATCATGATGGTGTGCTTCTTTAATAGATTTGAGGTAAGGATTAAATGAGATATGTGTGAAAGGGAGTGGGCACAGAGGAAATGCTCAGTAAGTTTTAGCTATTATGGATGAACAAGTCAGGGCATAGACTGGCTTAATCATGATTGTACCTCCAGGGCTCTTCACAGGGTCTGGACCCAGCAGCTCTTTAATAAATATCTGTTTGTACACTTCCTCAGACTTAGGCATAAAAGCCCTTGGGAATGAAGTTGACCATTTAATGCATCTTCAGACGATGAAAAGCTCTTATGAGAACATTCACTTGAAAGGATTCCAACGGCCATTCATTATTGCTTTGAAAGGGCAGAAATCAGAGCTGTGTGTTCAGCTCCCAGCCCAAAAACCTGTTGCCAGCTTTGCATTTTGTCAATGAGATTACAGTCGTCACTGTAGAATAGGACCTCTTTCTTCTTCCACATGACACCAGCCTTTGCTCCAAATCTATCCTGGGTACCACGGCTGCATCTCTGTGCTGCAAGCTAACACTAAGCATGTCACGTGGCAAGGTGGTGTGATGCAGCAGCTCAGAACGCAGTTTGTGGACTCAGACTCCTGTAGCAGGATATCAGCTGCCTCCACCCTCTCCAGCTGCATGACCTTGGGCAATGACTTCCTCTCTGTGCTTGAGGTGCCCCATACGTAAAATAAAGACTGTCAGAGTCCCTGCTTCATAGGGTCATTGTGGGGGATTAATCGAGATAATGCCTGTAAGATACTGGTCACTACAGCTCTAGGTCAGAACTATCCAATGGAACATTCCATGATAACGGACATGTTCTGCACACAGTCCAATATGGAAGCCACTAGGCATATGTGGTTTTTGAGCCCTTGAAATGTGGCTAGTGAGGTTGAGGAACTGAATTTTAATTGTATTTAAGTTTAATTAAATTCGATTTAAATATAAATACATGTAGCTAGGGGTTACCGTATCGGACAATTCTCTAGAACAGTGGTTCTCAACCTTCTGGCCCTTTAAATACAGTTCCTCATGTTGTGACCCCAACCATAAAATTATTTTGGTTGCTACTTCATAACTGTAATGTTGCTACTGTTATGAATCGTAATGTAAATATCTGATATGCAGGATGGTCTTAGGCGACCCCTGTGAAAGGGTCATTCGAACACCAAAGGGGTCTTGACCCACAGGTTGAGAACCGCTGCTCTAGAATAATCACAGGGGGCAGCCAATGATCCTATCCTACTTCAGGTTCATTTTTTCCCTAGCTGTTGGGCCTTAGTTCCTTCCTCTTCTGTCACATTTTTAAACTTTAAGAAATAGATTACACAAATAAATTCTGTCCTCCCAAGAAAATCATGCTCACAACACTATGAGCCAGGCACTGATTTAAGTGCTTTACATATATTAATGTATAAGAACTCTGAGTCGGGTGCTATGATTATACCCATTTAACAATTGAGTAAATTGAGGCACGGAGCAGTGGCAAACTTCTCAAAGTCACAAAGCCAGTCAAAGGCAGGGCTGAAATTTAAACTCAACCCTGGGTTCAGCAACTCTTAACACTTAACCATGACATATTACTTCTGTGGCCAAAACATTTAGCCATGGATTTCATAATATATCTTCTATTTGCCTAGCTGCTAGGGAGGTCTGGACAGTCTTCTTTAATTCACTATTCAAAATCCAGGGCCTCTCTAGCCTCTTACCATGGTATTTGTTCACTGGCATGGGGCCTCTGGTAGCATTCTCCTTTCCTGTTATTTTTTTTATTCACGGTTCGTGTCTCATTGCCATTTATTTGCAGAATTTTCTTTCCTTCTGCTCAATTCATCATCAGAGTGTTCTTCCTCTTTGCTGAATTCATAAGTGGTTATGCAAAAAGAGGATCTGGTGCAGGGCCAGGCAACTGACAACACACCACTTGTTTGGCAAGTGAATGTCCAATTGGTATATCTCGTTCTGCCACTGGCAGCTCCTGCCATGGGACAGGGCCATCAGCCAGCTCCCTGAGGGCCTGACAGAAAAGCTGCTGCCATCAGATCAAATCTGCGGCCCCAAGCCAGCACCCCAGCAACAGCACTCTAGATGACACCAAACACCGTTCAGGGGCACATCTGTATTGCCAGGCAGGGCTGGAGGAAGGGGGCCTAACCCATATCCATCACTGGGGAAAATCCTTCCTTCTCCCAAGTCTCTTCCTGGTGCACTTTGTGGAGATTGATACATGAACCTTTAATATGACTAAAATGTTCTCCTCAGTGACACTAAAGCTGCCTTAATCCATCAAGAATGGACATGCCTTGGTGGATGATGCCTAAAAGATGGGATTCCTGACCACCTCTGCATCCATTATTCAAGCCCACAAGCACACCTACATTCCAGCAGGACTTCACTAACGGTCAGGGTACAAACTGAGAGGCTCCATTCGGAACAGCCTCAGATTTTTGATGAACACCCCCAGTAACTGAACTTGATCAATGACCAAGGTACTTCACCTCATTCACAAGTCCTAATTCTCAGAGAAAGGCAGGCAGCCATGACTGTAAGACCTAGGAAAACCATAGGGATATGCTCCCCCTCTCTCCAGAAAAGCTATAGAGCATATTAAGCAGTGTGACAGCAGAGCATGGTTAAGTGAGAGCAGCATGGTGCCAAGAGTCTGTAACAAGACCACAGTAGGCGAGCACTAGAAGGGGTTTGGGGAGAGAGTGGGAGGGCAGCTATGTCGCGACCCCTTTGGCAGTCAAACGACCCTTTCACAAGGGTCGCCTAAGACCATCCTGCATATCAGATATTTACATTACAATTCATAACAGTAGCAACATTACAGTTATGAAGTAGCAACCAAAATAATTTTATGGTTGGGTCACAACATGAGGAACTGTATTTAAAGGGCCAGAAGGTTGAGAACCACTGTCCGAGACAATAGCTTCCAAACTGGGAAGAGCTGTGAGCAGGATCTGCCAAGAATAGCAAGGAAATGCATCCCAATATTGGCCCAAACTGTGTCTTTATTATGCATCATAAAGGCTCTAAGAATAACAATCTCTCCTCCAAAGGGGTGGGAGGGAGAAAACAGAATCTTGAACGTAGAGCTGCCTTCTGTTCAGTGGCTCCTCCTAAGCACAGAAAGGCAATGAAAATGCCCAGAACCAATTTCGACTTCTGAATTTTAAATACATGGAGTCCATCTCTTCCCACTCGATCATTCCCTCAAATGAATAAGGAACTCATTTCCCTAAGCCACACATACTCCCCACCAAAGCACAGGCACCTTCATAAAATGTGTGCCTTGTAACATTAATTATGTCACCTAAGGGAAGAGACAAGACAAAATGCAAAACCAAACGGAAACTTTTCCCCTAATTATTGGTTCTGAAGAGTTTGGTGAATCTGTACAAAACCCAATGGTCAGGATTTCCCTGTAGGAAATACCAACTCTTGTTTTTAAAAAGCAACTTAAAAGTAATAGCGACATCGATGCAACACTACACTAAGGGAGAATAATGAACCTAATAAAACTAGCGATTTTCCAATTGCTATTGCTACTAGAAACACTGATTATGCTAATTAAAGGGTAGAATAGTAAATACCAACTCTTTTGCATCCAATTAAGTGCTCAGATTATTTCTCAGAGTATTTGTTGAAAAAAGCACTTCTGATTATCATGGGTCCCAAATAAACAGAGTCCTGTGTGTGTGTGTGTGTGTGTGTGTGTACATGCACACTCACACACATTTCTCTCTGGAGCTCATTTCACAGAGCAGCAAAAACTCCAAAAATTCCTATGGGACCAAGTGAGAAAAATCAGTTTCCTAAGTCTACAGCTTGGAATATCTTTAAAGAAGGTGTGTGTTGAAAATACAGCACACGAAAATAATTCAATTTCAAGATGGGAACACCTGAGATTTAACATGCAAACATCAGGAATTCAACTGAATATGCAGGGCTGCCTAAGTCCCTGGGAATTTCAATGTCAATTATTCTAAATAATAAAACAGCTGGTCAAACCACATTCTACAAAATGTTAGAAGTGTCATCCTTCCAGTCAACTCCATACTTCAGAGCAAAGTCAATTTATATGTAAGTTAAACAAAGAACCATCGCTAAAAACTGAGAATTATGTCGACTGACAATCAGAAATGCAATAAATAAATATTAGAGGATTTGCAAGTTAAATCAACCATTGAAATTCTATTATCAGAAAGAAAATGTGTTACCTGTGGAGGTTACAAATAACATGCTAGAACCCAAAAGAGAAAGAGTTTCTGTAATGATTCCGTAAGTTAATCAGAATTCATGCATTCATTCAACATGCATTTAATCAACAGCACTTACTCTGAGCCAGGCCTGTTCTGGGTCCCAGGGAAAGTGTGGTCAATAAGAAAGACATGGTTCTTGGTCTCCTTGAGCTCACATTCTAGAGGAGAGAAACAGACAATAAATAAGTAAACAAGCCCTAACCAGTTTGGCTCAGTGGATAGAGCGTCGGCCTGTGGACTGAAGGGTCCCGGGTTCGATTCTGGTCAAGGGCATGTACCTTGGTTGCCGGCACATACCCAGTACGGGGTGTGCAGGAGGCAGCTGATCGATGTTTCTCTCTCATCGATGCTTCTAACTCTCTATCCCTCTCCCTTCCTCTCTGTAAAAAATCAATAAGATATATTTTTTAAAAAATAAGTAAATAAATTAAGATGAGTTCAGATTGGGGAAAGCACTTTAGAGAAAATAAAACTGGATCGCCTAATAGAAAATGAATGCTGGAGGGTAGAGAGGATAATATTTCACCTATAGCTATAGATAGCAGAGCTCCTGAAGCTTGAAAAGTATTTAGTATTAAGACCCTTATCAAGTTTCC